ACAAAATAAAATTGATCTGTATTTGTAGTCTGGATAGGGTAAGTTGTTTCCCCTTTCCTGGAATTATCTCTTGGCTACTGGAGGGAGTTTCCTTGATGGGACAGTAATGGTATACCTCACTGTCAATAACCATCTGCCTCCTGTGATACAAAGAAAAGATGCAAATGCTATACATTGGCTGGCTTATGTACATTGAAACTTTATATAGCTGTTCTGTTTAATTTTGCACAGTTGAGGTCATCACATTTTCAGATCTACATTTTTTCATATGCATCTGCTATGCCAAAAATAGCAAGAGCTCCATTTGCTGCAAACACAGGGTATTTAAAACAGTGTGTTTGTATGTGTAGTATCCTAAGAGTTTTAAATAGAACTGCCATTAATTTTCTTGGCATTAAGTTCAAGGTAGAAGCAAGTACCAAGATAATTATATAACATAAAATTGAGTATTTTATTGATAAGAATAAAGAAGGCACAACTACTTTTAACCAGCTGTCACTTGTAGGCTGACCCTAAATATTGGATAAACTGCTGTAAAAGTATGGACTGTTTGATGAGAATCCTATCGATCAGAGAATAAAATCTACTAAATGTTGACAAACATCACAACTTAAATATGGGATGCTCAGATTGGAAGGGTGGAATACTTCAGATTTTGCATAGCAAAAGCAGCAATTTCAGCTGTTGTAAACTCATGGATGCTGGAATGGTAGGAAGCAAAGAGAAATTGGAAGAAGGCTGGGCGAAAGGATGGAGACAAACATCTTAGAAGGAAGGTTGTTGGAGAAAGGGTCTGAGTAGCAGACCTTCACAAAAGACTAAATGGGGAGAACAGAAAACTGAGCAATAGGAGAGCCCTGTATGAAAGATAAACTTCAGAAAGGGACTTGTACAAGACTTTGAAAGATAATGATACAATTTTGTTGCAAAGAACTAGGACAGGTAGATTTGTTAGGGAAGCAGGATGAGGGAAACAGAATGTCTTGAAAGTGTAGCTGAAGTACAAGGGACAGGAGACAGTGGATCCAGGAGCAGAGAACTGATGTAGGGAGAGAAGGAAAAGATGGCCCATTAATGAGAAATACTGTGGAGAAACTCGTCCAGAGTCATAAGGTGGTGCTAACTCTGCCAATCAAAAGCATTGTGCAGCTATTTTGCTTTTCTTCATTAATGGTTATTTATTTATTATTGGAGTGGTAAGGAACGAGAAGAAACTGTGGGAAAACGGGAGGGTTGCAAATAGAAGATTATGTTAGCCTCAGTAAAGTTCTGTGATTGAGGTGGGAGATTGCACAATAAAAGTTCAGTCAAAAGTTTATGAGGGCATATCCACATGACATGCTAAGGCACCTTTGAACAAGCTGTGCAGTTCATAGTACATCCTATGGCACACCAGACAGGCAACATGGCTCACCGTGACTTATTCTTGTCCCCTTTCCTTCTCCATCCTCTAGTTGGTATCTCAGTGTTCTTTCCAGTGGAATCTGTTTTGTCTCTCCCTCCCCATGCCAGTCATTGCACCTGTTCAGTTATTGACATTTTTCCTCCAGAGCCTCAAAAATGTGTAGTTGGAGCTATTTTTCCAGCCCCTGAAAATATCAGCTCCTTGCACAACTGTTTGCATTATTAAATATTATTAATTCTGACAAGTCTTGTGCAAGTGTGCTGCCATGGCTATATGACAGATGTGGATGCAGGCTTTTCTAGTCAGTTGCCTTGTATATTTCAGCTGCCAAATGGAGTTGGCAACCTATGTGAAAACTGACAATCCAAGAGTGGATATAGGCTGATTTGCACCCAGTTGCTAGGTCAGATGCTTAGCTATGAATTGTAAAGTACAAGAAGGTGCATCAAAAAGTAGCCCAAAGGGGAAGGGACCAGTATCTTCATTACAGTATGATCCTCTGGCTTATAAGTGTTCAAGTGATATTCCTCCATGGCCTCCACCTTTTCAGCACTTTCCTGAGCTTCCAATTATTCCAGAAAGGAAAAAATTAATCCCCTCACCTTTTTGGGATACTTAACTGCTGCAATTACTGAAGTTCTCTGATAGTTCTTTAACACAGAATTACATGCAAAATTAATGTCAAGGAAGTAAATGAAGGGGAAGTTTGCCCAGTTGTCAGGGAACCACAATAACTGCAGCAGTAAGTGCTCTGAAAATGAGCAAGAAAAAGGTGGGGAGTCAATATTTCCCCTTCTGGAGTAGCTGGAGAGTAGAGGAAATGTTGAAAAGATGGAGGATACTGAGAAGTGTCAGCTCAGCAACTGCCAGTCAAGAGGATTTCATTACTAAGTGAATGACATCGCCCCTTCCTTTTCACACACCTTCTGGTGTGTTTTTCTCTTTACCTGTGCTTTTCAATTAACAGCTAAGCTGTTGGTATCCTCATCTAGTTTGCTGCTCTTTTGATGACTAAAACAGACAAGCAAATTGACCAGACTAGGCTACACATACCAGAGAGCCATAAGTACGCACTTGTGGAAATTGGACAATTCCAACAACAACAATTAAAATGAACAGAATTGCACAATTTTCTGGTGTCAGGTCTTTTTTTTAAAACAAGAGTGGTGAACCAGTGATAATTGTCCTAATGTGCCACTTGGTGGAGGAGCTGGCTGTGGCAGTGGCAAGGGTGAGATCAAGGAGAACAGCAAGGGTTTTTACCACTTTTGCCAAGCAGCTTTTGCTGAGCAACTTGCTAACCAATCCTTGCAACCTGTGATGAAATTGCTCTCCCATGCTCGGCTCACATGACAACCCATCTTGGGTCAAACAATCCCTAGAACAAGTCATGGGTTGTCAGAGTGGCTTGTTGACAAAAAATAAGCCAACCTGTGCAAAGCGATCTGGGTGTGAACTGTGCAACAACCCACTATGACTATTTACCCATGCTGGGTTGTTGTGTCATATGAACCCAGTCTGAGTGACTGGCTGTAGGAGGATAACAGCCAAGGAGCAAAAATTATGAAACAGTTGTGCACTTGATAAAAGACTCAGTTGCACAACCCACGATATCAATAAACTTTAAGTTTTCTCTATATACTTTATCATTTGTACTTCTGTTTTCAATCTTTTCTCCCTTGTTTTACTTCCAGTCTTGAAGGTGTTGAACAGTGACAGTCATTATAGCAGTGTCTTCTTTTTTAATTTAAGTTCAAAAAACTTGTTGCAGTCTGTTGTCAATAACTTTGGAGCAGTTAAGCAAGTACACATTTTCTTCAGACTAGTTTCTGACATGTATTCATAATAAGGTTAACACTGGGAGTTTATTTCTTAAAGTGTTTGATACATAGTTATGTTTTGGTTGATTATTAGTGGCAGTGCAGGAAACTTTGTTTTCTGTGATTTGAATAGAGACAGATGTTATGACATTTGACACTATCTGTTACTTGAAAGGTGAATTAGCTGTAGCCAATCATACCTAGTCAGTGTTCTTGGATTGCAACTCTGGGCATAAAGCATAATTTTCTCAATCAAGCAGTTGATTTCTCATTGATTTAATATCTATCTATCTCAAAAACAATTGACCTGTTTGATCCTAGTCAATTCTGTTAGTAAAGAATAAGGTTGACATTAAAATTGTGGTACTTTATAATATATGCAATTGCTGGTGCAATGTAACTTCCAAGTCTCCTCCTGCCTGTCTGCAGCCTCTTGCACATGCTTCCAAATCTGTTCCAGAGGGTTTGGGGCATGGGTGGGTACCTGCATTGAGGAGGGGAAATAGTTTCCACTAGTGGTTTCTGTCCTACTAGCAGATGAACAGGGTTGGATCGAAGTGCTCCCCCTTCCATCTCTTGCATGACTGCAAAGAGGAGATTGAAGTATTTCCTTCTGTTGTCTACTGACTGCATTTGTCATTACATCCAAACAAAAACTATAGTTGTTTTTTTTGGTTGTTATGGGTTCTGTTTCTCTTTGCTCTCTATAAGCTGCCCTAAGACTTTTTTAGAAATTGGGATGGCATACAAAAACCTTAAACAAACAAACTATAGTTTATCCAAACAAGCCAGAATTGTAAACCATGGTTTGCTTTGTTTTACAAATTGCTCTGAAAACATCTAAAGTTGTAAACTTGTTTATCAACGCAATAAGTAAGTCAATATATTGTATATTATTATGTTATGCCTGATTCATGAAGACTCTACATATCCATGGAAAACAATATCAATCCGTATATATTGGCCTTCATTCTGCTGCTCTCCAGATGTGTTGCACTGCAATTCCCAGCCAGCCTGGTGATTGGCACCAGATTGGGAAAGGCTGCTATGTATATCCCACTTTTTTACTTGAACTTAAATAAAAATAATCTACTTTTCCTTTTTTGAACACCTTATTCCTGGAATCAGAATAAATTAGGATGAATACATAATAGGATACAGATTTCAAAGTTCAAATATAAAATGTAATGTAATTAACATATTTTAGACTGCAGATCACTAGTATTCTTCTCATATAGACCTTTGTTCTGTGTTATATTTCCTGATATAGAGCCCATTCCTATATATGTATAAGCAAAAGAACAAACAAAGTGCCATTCTGGATCAGCCAAGGGGCCTATCCTTTGCATCATTTTGTTGTCAAGTGGCTAAGTAGATGCCACAAGCAGAACATGAGTTTAATATCACTCTTATGCTTACGTTCTGCATCACCAGTATCTGTTAATGGCATGTCATAATTAGATATACAAGATAATGTATAACCACAATCAGAAGTAGCCATTGTTAGTGTTACACTTCACAAATAAGTTCAGTGGGGCTTACCCCCAAGAAATTGGATGTAGCAGGCTGTCATGCTCATTTTATTGAAAAGTGAGCAAGACGTTTTTATTAAATGTGCAGTCAAAATGTAAAATAATAATATTATTGAATTGCATTTTTCTTAATAGAAAGGTGTGCTACATCAAATAAATATTCTATGATGGAAACTAGAGGAGGAAACTTCTAATACCAATAATGTTTCTCTCTTTCTCTCTCTTTCTTTTTTGGTCCCTTAGATCTAATCAGCTTTACACAGACAATGATTCCAAAGACTATGAGATAATTTCCGCTGGCCGAGCAAGAAGGCTCATTGAGGCCTTACTACAGCCCTGGAAGGTACAAGAAACCATACTACTAGTTGGTTCATCAGTAAAAATAAATCTCTTGGAAGAGTGTTCCGTTAACAGCAAAAGGGAGATTTGCACACTGGGAGCAAGAGCTGCACCACTTGCAACACCACAGAAGGAACCAGAAAAGAAGGGAAGTGGTGTCATCATGGATAAAGATAGCATGACCTTGGCTGACCAGCAGTATGAATGTGTGGCTGAGATTGGCGAAGGAGCCTATGGGAAAGTGTTCAAAGCCCGGGACTTGAAGAATGGAGGACGCTTTGTAGCACTCAAAAGAGTGCGAGTACAGACAAATGAAGAGGGGATGCCACTTTCCACCATACGTGAGGTGGCTGTATTGAAGCATCTGGAAACCTTTGAACATCCCAACGTGGTCAGGTGAGGAAGTGGGGGCAGGGCACATGATCAGCTGGGTTCCATATTATTATGGTATTGAACAAGAAACTTTGTGTATTCTGAACATCAAACAGGAATGTGGATTGACTGAATACTAGAGTAGATGAATGGAATGAGCCTGAAGTTTGCTTAAGCAAATATATTGCCAGCCTGCCTAACCCATTCTTTCTTGTTTTGCCTCCCACGCATTCAAATATCTATCTCCAGAGGCATAGGTGTGTGACTTAAATATTTGAGTGGATGGGCATGGAGCCACATGTATGCTCTGCTTTTCTTGAGTACATAACAGTAGAATAAAAATATGTTCTTTTGTCCTACGTATTAGTTGTGTGCAGTACAATTGATACTTTTCTTTAGCTCTATTAAACATTTGCCAATGGGACAGTAAACATTCTGATTGCTAGCCAGTATAATTCTGCAATTCTAGATAATCTATTGCTGGTCTAGGGCAGCTTTCACTAACCTGATGGCTTCCAGATATGTTGAACTCTGATCATCCAAGGCTTTCTGGAGGGAAAGCTGCAAAAGGCTGGTCTAGGATATAAAGCTTTCTAACATCTCACCTTCCAAAAGATGCAAGGTAGTGAACAATATATGAAATATAAAATTCAAAATGAATGTAGTAGATAAAAAGGCTGAAATCTCACACAGCTGCAACCTTAACCCCAGGCATCTTAGTCCAGTGCCTGATAGAAATGTTTTCAAAAGATGGTCTTCAACTTTACTAAGATCTGTAGGGAGAGATCAAGAGAGCCTTAGGCTGATGCTTAAGATCAGTTTTCGCAACCTGGTGCCCTCCAGATGTGCTTGGCTATCATGGAAATAACATGGGATGTTGCTACCCATCTGGGCAGTACAATCTTATGGATGTCTAGTCAGACATGGAAACTTGCACTCTGAGGCAAGCATGTGTAAGATTGCAACATTTCTGGAAATGATTTGAAAGTGCATTACTTGTTAGTCTACAAAAGCAGACCCACCTCTGACAGTAATTCCCAACTTGCCTGACACTGAAGTTTGAACATTATGAGTAGAGGCAGAAGTCAGGAAATAGAAGTGACTGCTTTTCATTATTACTGTTCTCATAGATGACAGCTTTAGTTTAAATAGATGTAAATTGTTCTAAGCATTGCAAGGCTATTTGTCAGCAGTGGGACAGCCTTGTGTGTTCATATATGCATTTTTCACTGTGTTCTTTCTGACTGTGCTAGTTGGAGAGAAAAATTAATTGACCACAGCCATGGGTGTAGTCGCATTTGTTTTAATCATACATTTTTTTAGATGAGTAACGTGTTAGAAATGTGATAATATAAGGTTCAAGGCTGAATGGTGATTAATCATAGAAAATCATGCCTGTACATACTAAAATTCATGATAGAATTTGGAAAGAACCAGGTTGGAAAATTGTTAAATATCCATCCGTAATAAATTTTCATATTTAGTACATTATTTTGGAATCCACTGAGATAAACAAAGATGGCTACTGTCTTTTGCCCATACAAACTGGGAGTAAGACCACTGAATTAAATGGGAGTTCTGTATAGATGTACCGTAGAGCACTATAAATTGTGGCCATTTTACAAACTGAGAAAGTAATTTAAATCTGTAAAGTCACATAGATGTAGAAAAATTTATTATCTGTCTCCTTAGATATTGTGAAATAATTTGTCTTACCATTAGAAAAAATGAATAAATTGTAGCATGTATAAGATGGTGAATGGGATTGCACAATACATTAAGTGGTGGTGACTGAACATCCATTCAAGCAGAGCTCAGACTAGTTAAGATTTGTTAATTTCTCTTTGATTGCAGTTATTCAAGAAGCTGTTCATCTGCCAATTGGTCATCTTTGCAAGCTTGTAGAAAGTTAGACATCTTATTTAAATCTAGATATATTCAATCAGTTGTATTCTCTGTGTCCACTGAACTATTTACTCATCCCAGTAAAGAAATCCATGCTGGTTTAGTATAATTTGTTCTGAAATATATTTTCATTATGTGTAATGACACCAATTGAGAGCCAGTATGGCATTGGTTAGAGTTTTTGATGAATCCATCAGCGTTCTCATTGAGGGTTTCTGTCCAGCCTTGAAGCTTATTGGATTACTTTAAGCCAATCAATGATTTTCAGTCCAACCTACCTCACAGGTTTGTTGTGAGGATAAAATGGAAAGAAGAATTCTGTAAGCCACCTGGGGTTTCCTGCAGCTACTAAAGGTGGGATACAAATATAATTAATAAATAAATATACATCTTGGACCAGGCAAAACCCTAAAATTCATATATTCGAATACATTGCAAATGACTACACTGAGATACAGTCATAATTTATAACTTCGAATATTTGAATATTTTGATCTTCTCAATCAAATTTTGGAAGATCTATCACTAAGCAAACATGAATGTGTCACTTTAAAATTAATTAATTGTAATATAATTATTTGTAAAGTAGTTCAAGGTAGCAGAAACCCATAAAAAGCAGTAAAAGAATACATATTACAACACCATTCTGTATCCAGGTACCTAGATAAGGTCCCTTTTCTACCATATTTTTAGGAAAAATAGAAACTTAACAATGTTTCAGATTGTTTTTAAGCCTCATATTGGTAATTGATTATCTTAAAGATAGAGCTACAAATTATATTTTAATTGGTGAAATTTAAATTCATTTCATTATTATTACATGCAGGAACAAATAAATATCTTGATTTCCCAAACATTGCATGGAACAGGAGATGTGATTTCCAGGTGGGATGTTCTACTAGGGCCAGGGTATAAATAGCTTAGTGGTAGAGCACACAGTTTACATGCAGTCAGCTCCAGGTTCAGTCCTTAGCATCTCCAAGTAGGGTTCTCTGGAGCCCTTCAGTTTCCTAAATAAAAACAGAATGTTGTGCATTGCAATTGGTGGCAGGATGGATTTTACACTGAAAACTTACCTGCTGGTGTGCTAGAAGCCTGCAATACATTAACATAATGAAATTTGTTATTTAATAATTACTTAAGTTCCCCCAAGACTAGATGTTTAGGTAAGTCAAAGAGGAAACAGGAACAGGAGATTGAACATAGTTGCTTTCAGTTCCACCATACTTTACTTCATATGCATTCTTGCAAAATGCTAGAAGAAATAGCTTGTTTTTGTTTATATTTAGAACCTGTTCTGTTTCTGTTGCTGAGGGCTGATAATATTCCCTCATGTGATTCATCCTCCAGGCAGCACTAAGAGGTTCATTCAGTTGATCATTCCATACATGTGCAGTATATGCTTGCTATACAGTAAAGCACACCAATAAATATCCACTCCCCCAAAAGCCCCACATACATAACAGTGGGTATCTTCTCTGTGCAATCCTTTGGTGTGATTTTAACCCACTAAAGATTCACTAAAATGTTACTTATTCAGCCTAGCATTTTTAATATAATTTTTTAAGGGACACAGAGAGAACCGAAGGATGCCCTGTATTTCCTGAGTGGCATGTTGCAAAGGAGTGTTGCTTTGTTTTCTATATTCCCTGATCAAGAATATATTTGGAATGTGCCAACTTGAAAAGTTTGGTGTATCATCTTTTACATTTTAGAGCATTTATTGAAATACCTAACTGTCCTTTCAAATAATCCTATATAGCTTGGGTTCTGTCATGCTCTTACTTCTTCCCTTGCCCATCACCCCAGTCTAGCACAGAATAAAAACTTCAATTTATTGGGTTTGCCTGTGCAGATTATAGATTTTGGAGAGTAACTCCAGCAACAAGATTTCTTTCCTTCCTTCCTTTCTTTTTGTCTTGATTTTCTTAAATTTAGTGAAAAGAGTGACAACAATAATATAACAAGTTCAGTAAAGAAGTATGTAATTCTTAGTTTAACACTGCTTTCCTTGGAACTGTTATAGGAAAACAGTCTAAGTAGGAGTTCCGTATATAAGAATAATACAAGTTCTACAGTCTCTTTGCAAGAGGAAGAAATGTGGGTACAAATGTAAGAAATTCATAATATATAAGGAGTGCATGTAAGTGTTTTTCTCTGTGTGTGTGTGGCTTCAATGCAGAACTGACTAAGATAAGGCACAGAATGAACTGCATACTTGAGAAGGCTCATGTATTTTAATGAAGGACTACATGTTCTACTTGTAGTAGCCCACAGATTAATTGACAGATCTTTTAATTAAAGATCCACTGCAAGCAAAAGAACAGTTCACTGTCAGGATTTCCTGAGGTTTGACTGATGAGACCTTGATTGTAACAACGTGGAGAGGGAGAGCAGATAGACAGGAATAGGGCTTTCAGCCCACCCATTGCACAATATTGCCGTTTGACTTGGAAGGGAGGGGGGGAGCACCCGTAAGTGCAGTGATGCCAGAGCAAGTCCTGCTGGAAAAATAGTGAAGATCACTGCTCTAGCTAGAACAGCCAGTAGTTAGCAATGATGGAAGTAGCAAGCCAAAACTTCTACAGGAGTTCATGTTGGCACATTCTTGCCTGGTCTCTGTATATTCCTAACTGGTCTTAAAGAATTAAATTGTTGAGCTAATCCTAGAAACATTTACAACAAATCTGGAGTTTAAAACATTACAAACTCCCTTGGAAACAATTATCTAGCTATAAATGTTCTGTGTTCACCTTTCCCCTGCTAGAAAATCAGTCAAAGTCAAGTCTTTTGTATAAATTATGAGGCATACCATGTGCATAAGAACATCTACATTTTTTAAATAATCCTGACATTTTAGATGTATTTGGTAAGATAAATTTAGTGTATCCAGTCCAGAGTTCAAATGAGAAGTTGAAATGCTTAATTAGCCTTTATTGTACACAGCAGATAAATCTGGCACAAGTATGTTCCCCAGTTATGTAAGTCACTGCTGCTCTGCTTGCAGAAAACATGAAGTATATGTAGACAAAGGATACAGTTTGCCAGGAATAAATGACATATTGGATTCAGGAAATTCCTGTGTGTAAAATTAGGAGTATTTCCTGCTGTAATGCATC